CCCCAAAACCCCAAAACCCCAAAACCCCAAAACCCCGTTTTATTGTAGAAATATTGAAAAAATTTCAAGTTTTAAGAAAGTAATTGAACTATTTCTGAATAATTTTTAGTTTTTAAGGTGTCTTTGGAGAAGCAGATTTTGATAATTTTACCATAGATCATGTCGAAGCTCTGAATATATTCTCTGAGCTCATTGAATGAACAGTCAACCGAACTGCAGCAAGGAAGTTTGAGCAGAATATAGTTGTAGATAACTTTTACCTAAAAGCAGGGACCTTCAGAGGAGTCTTTGCATGCTCTGGTGTCTTTTCTATGCAGCTGGAATATCAGCGCAGATGCATACTCTATGCGAGTTACTTCAATATTTTCAGGGTTGAGCAATTTCAATATATGTGAAAGCTGATTATCATGAGGTGGCAATAGTAAAATTTTGGGTTTCTGAAATGTTTTACAAATTCTTTGTTGTAGTCCTGACTCATACTAGATTTCATTAATTCCATAATTGGGAAGATATCCCTGGGAGACTAAATCTTACTTGAAAAAGGGGACAGTTTTCAATTAACAAAGTTACTTGCATTGATCTCAAAATTTCCCACTCTTCATTTATGAAGTTTTATCTATTGAATTTCCCTTCAAAATTCTTAGCAAAGAGGAGATCAGAGTATTTATAAATCTTCATGAATGAGAAATCATCAAGATCTTTTTCAATAGCTTCGGCAATCTGATTAAAATTAGTGGCCTGTAATGATCATCTTGAGGCTTCCAAACCTCTGGATCATTAACTCTTCTAGAATAGCCATTTACAATATATGGACATCCACCATAGGCAATCAATGAATCAATAGATTGACCATAGTTCTTGATAGTGACAGGCTACATTCAGTCTTGAGCCGCAACTGTTCCAAGTTCTGCTACAATATCTTCCAAATCATGTATGTTAAGAGGAGGACTTGGTACATCAATCTTGTCTGATCTTAACTTTTCAACCGTTCCTAGCGGGAACATGCTTAATAATATGAGTATGCATTCTGTACAATTATTAAAGACTTGGTTGATCTGACATAAACCTCTTCAGGGTCGAACTTTGGACTAAGGAAACTTTGTGAAATAGGCATGACTTTGCATACCTATTTCTGAGTTCTTCTCGGATCATGAAGTGCTTTCTGAATCCAGAAGAAAAAAGCATGCATTTTCAGTTTATGTAATGAAACCCAAAGCTATCTCCTTTTGGAGCTCTGGCTCGATGGCGGTATATCTCAGAGACCAATTTCAAGTTTGCACCTGGAAAATGTAATCAAACATAGAAGGACGAATAATATATAAATTTAGGATACTTCAGTTGAGTTGGTTTTGAACTAGATATGCTTCTTTATGTAAGACTTTGTCTTTTTATTTGGACCATCTGAAAGTAAGGATGGACTTTGCTCAAGAAGTTCACCAATGGTGTCTTGCACATATTTAGCTCTTTTGGAAACAGCTGAGTATAAAGTAATAAAGCCATCCCAGAGTCTGATTCATCCTATCTCTTTCATAAAGTAGCTCTTGTTGTATCTGGCTTATTCTTAAGAAGTGGCAGTTAGCTTTCAGACATTTGTAAAGATTAATAATTCTCAGTAAATACTTAAATGTCTTTTTCAATTACTCTTAGTCTCTTATATTCAGAGTTCAAATCTACCAGAAAGTCTTTAAAACATCAAGGGCCTTAAATTAAGTAATTTTATTTGATTCAAAGAGTGGTTGTTAGAATGATTATTTGTTTGTAAAGGACAATTGTTATCATGATTTGCTTTAACATCTCAGCAAGATTCCATTAAATATTAAAATTATTACCAAAGACAAAAGTTTACATTGCTTTTCAATTTTTTGACCAACTTCAGGGGTTTTGGGGTTTTGGGGTTTTGGGGTTTTGGG